CTCGGCCGCTACACTAAGTAGATAACGGCCCTCGGTAGTGTGGTCTATATGGTGGATCTCTAGACTCGGCCGCTACACTTATAGACCACGGCCCTCGGTAGTGTGGTCTATATGGTGGATCTCTAGGCTCGGCCGCTACACTAAGTAGATCACGGCCCTCGGTAGTGTGGTCTATATGGTGGATCTCTAGACTCGGCCGCTACACTAAGTAGATCACGGCCCTCGGTAGTGTGGTCTATATGGTAGATCTCTAGGCTCGGCCGCTACCCTAAGTAGATCACGGCCCTCGGTAGTGTGGTCTATATGGTGGATCTCTAGGCTCGGCCGCTACACTAAGTAGATAACGGCCCTCGGTAGTGTGGTCTATATGGTGGATCTCTAGGCTCGGCCGCTACACTAAGTAGATCACGGCCCTCGGTAGTGTGGTCTATATGGTGGATCTCTAGGCTCGGCCGCTACACTAAGTAGATCACGGCCCTCGGTAGTGTGGTCTATATGGTGGATCTCTAGACTCGGCCGCTACACTAAGTAGATCACGGCCCTCGGTAGTGTGGTCTATATGGTGGATCTCTAGGCTCGGCCGCTACACTAAGTAGATCACGGCCCTCGGTAGTGTGGTCTATATGGTGGATCTCTAGGCTCGGCCGCTACACTAAGTAGATCACGGCCCTCGGTAGTGTGGTCTATATGGTGGATCTCTAGGCTCGGCCGCTACACTAAGTAGAGTAGATCACGGCCCTCGGTAGTGTGGTCTATATGGTGGATCTCTAGGCTCGGCTTCTACACTAAGTAGATCAGGGCCCTCGGTAGTGTGGTCTATATGGTGGATCTCTAGGCTCGGCCGCTACACTAAGTAGATCACGGCCCTCGGTAGTGTGGTCTATATGGTGGATCTCTAGGCTCGGCCGCTACACTAAGTAGAGTAGATCACGGCCCTCGGTAGTGTGGTCTATATGGTAGATCTCTAGGCTCGGCCGCTACACTAAGTAGAGTAGATCACGGCCCTCGATAGTGTGGTCTATATGGTAGATCTCTAGGCTCGGCCGCTACTCTAAGTAGATCACGGCCCTCGGTAGTGTGGTCTATATGGTGGATCTCTAGGCTCGGCCGCTACCCTAAGTAGATCACGGCCCTCGGTAGTGTGGTCTATATGGTGGATCTCTAGGCTCGGCCGCTACACTAAGTAGATCACGGCCCTCGGTAGTGTGGTCTATATGGTGGATCTCTAGGCTCGGCCGCTACACTAAGTAGATCACGGCCCTCGGTAGTGTGGTTTATATGGTGGATCTCTAGGCTCGGCCGCTACACTAAGTAGATCACGGCCCTCGGTAGTGTGGTCTATATGGTGGATCTCTAGGCTCGGCCGCTACCCTAAGTAGATCACGGCCCTCGGTAGTGTGGTCTATATGGTGGATCTCTAGGCTCGGCCGCTACACTAAGTAGATCACGGCCCTCGGTAGTGTGCTCTATATGGTGGATCTCTAGGCTCGGCCGCTACACTAAATAGAGTAGATCACGGCCCTCGGTAGTGTGGTCTATATGGTAGATCTCTAGGCTCGGCCGCTACACTAAGTAGAGTAGATCACGGCCCTCGGTAGTGTGGTCTATATGGTAGATCTCTAGGCTCGGCCGCTACACTAAGTAGATCACGGCCCTCGGTAGTGTGGTCTATATGGTGGATCTCTAGGCTCGGCCGCTACCCTAAGTAGATCACGGCCCTCGGTAGTGTGGTCTATATGGTGGATCTCTAGGCTCGGCCGCTACACTAAGTAGATCACGGCCCTCGGTAGTGTGGTCTATATGGTGGATCTCTAGGCTCGGCCGCTACACTAAGTAGATCACGGCCCTCGGTAGTGTGGTTTATATGGTGGATCTCTAGGCTCGGCCGCTACACTAAGTAGATCACGGCCCTCGGTAGTGTGGTCTATATGGTGGATCTCTAGGCTCGGCCGCTACCCTAAGTAGATCACGGCCCTCGGTAGTGTGGTCTATATGGTGGATCTCTAGGCTCGGCCGCTACACTAAGTAGATCACGGCCCTCGGTAGTGTGCTCTATATGGTGGATCTCTAGGCTCGGCCGCTACACTAAATAGAGTAGATCACGGCCCTCGGTAGTGTGGTCTATATGGTGGATCTCTAGGCTCGGCCGCTACACTAAGTAGATCACGGCCCTCGGTAGTGTGGTCTATATGGTGGATCTCTAGGCTCGGCCGCTACACTAAGTAGATCACGGCCCTCGGTAGTGTGGTCTATATGGTGGATCTCTAGGCTCGGCCGCTACACTAAGTAGATCACGGCCCTCGGTAGTGTGGTCTATATGGTGGATCTCTAGGCTCGGCCGCTACCCTAAGTAGATCACGGCCCTCGGTAGTGTGGTCTATATGGTGGATCTCTAGGCTCGGCCGCTACACTAAGTAGATCACGGCCCTCGGTAGTGTGGTCTATATGGTGGATCTCTAGGCTCGGCCGCTACACTAAGTAGATCACGGCCCTCGGTAGTATGGTGTATAGGATGGATCTCTAGGCTCGGCCGCTACACTAAGTAGATCACGGCCCTCGGTAGTGTGGTTTATAAATTAACTTTATATGGTGGATCTCTAGGCTCGGCCGCTACACTAAGTAGATCACGGCCCTCGGTAGTGTGGTCTATATGGTGGATCTCTAGGCTCGGCCGCTACACTAAGTAGATCACGGCCCTCGGTAGTGTGGTCTATATGGTGGATCTCTAGGCTCGGCCGCTACACTAAGTAGATCAGGGCCCTCGGTAGTGTGGTCTATATGGTGGATCTCTAGGCTCGGCCGCTACACTAAGTAGAGTAGATCACGGCCCTCGGTAGTGTGGTCTATATGGTGGATCTCTTGGCTCGGCCGCTACACTAAGTAGATCACGGCCCTCGGTAGTGTGGTCTATATGGTAGATCTCTAGGCTCGGCCGCTACACTAAGTAGATCACGGCCCTCGGTAGTGTGGTCTATATGGTGGATCTCTAGGCTCGGCCGCTACACTAAGTAGATCAGGGCCCTCGGTAGTGTGGTCTATATGGTGGATCTCTAGTCTCGGCCGCTACACTAAGTAGATCACGGCCCTCGGTAGTGTGGTCTATATGGTGGATCTCTAGGCTCGGCCGCTACACTAAGTAGATCACGGCCCTCGGTAGTGTGGTCTATATGGTGGATCTCTAGGCTCGGCTGCTACACTAAGTAGATCACGGCCCTCGGTAGTGTGGTCTATATGGTGGATCTCTAGGCTCCGCCGCTACACTAAGTAGATCACGGCCCTCGGTAGTGTGGTCTATATGGTAGATCTCTAGGCTCGGCCGCTACCCTAAGTAGATCACGGCCCTCTGTAGTGTGGTCTATATGGTGGATCTCTAGACGGCCGCTACCCTAAGTAGATCACGGCCCTCGGTAGTGTGGTCTATATGGTGGATCTCTAGGCTCGGCCGCTACACTAAGTAGATCACGGCCCTCGGTAGTGTGGTCTATATGGTGGATCTCTAGGCTCGGCCGCTACACTAAGTAGATCACGGCCCTCGGTAGTGTGGTCTATATGGTGGATCTCTAGTCTCGGCCGCTACACTAAGTAGATCACGGCCCTCGGTAGTGTGGTCTATATGGTGGATCTCTAGGCTCGGCCGCTACCCTAAGTAGATCACGGCCCTCGGTAGTGTGGTCTATATGGTGGATCTCTAGGCTCGGCCGCTACACTAAGTAGATCACGGCCCTCGGTAGTGTGGTCTATATGGTGGATCTCTAGGCTCGGCTGCTACACTAAGTAGATCACGGCCCTCGGTAGTGTGGTCTATATGGTGGATCTCTAGGCTCCGCCGCTACACTAAGTAGATCACGGCCCTCGGTAGTGTGGTCTATATGGTAGATCTCTAGGCTCGGCCGCTACCCTAAGTAGATCACGGCCCTCTGTAGTGTGGTCTATATGGTGGATCTCTAGACGGCCGCTACACTAAGTAGATCACGGCCCTCGGTAGTGTGGTCTATATGGTGGATCTCTAGGCTCGGCCGCTTCACGATCACAAGTCACAGAGTCTAACATAGGTGCACACATGTGCTCGGCAGGTCACGTGAGCTGTGTTTACAGGGATCGTGACGATTAAAGGAAGCAGGTTGATATAATTTCTGTAGTTCTGCGGTCCACATTCGGGCGACTCAGATTTTTCTGGTCTCATTGTTTTGTTATGGAAATTATGTGCTGTACGGTTGACTGTGGCACTATGGCTCAAATTTTCAGATAGGCCTACTAACTTGGCTGTGTGTATATGCATCATCTGATTTTTTAAAATTGTATGTTCTACTTTTTCAACTTTAGTTTACATTTTAGCATTGTGGATACTTTTTCTTTCCTACTAAGTTCAATGTGATCTTATTATCTGTTAATTTTAATCAGTGTGCCAGATTTTCTTGCATCTGAGTGTTGATGACTTGCCTGGTAGTACATTGCCAGCCACTTGGGCTAAGCATTTGGTTGCTTTTTTTTTTTATTTGCTATAGTGCAACGTTCTTTAGCTGGTGGATTATTGATCAACATAATCAATATATTACCTGTTTGCTTTTTTATTCATGGAAGAAAAAAATGACTTGACAGTTTTTTTCTCTTCTTTCTATTGCAGGATTAGCTTATTCAGTTTAAAATTTGATTATTAAATTAAAGTGTAGACTTTTTGGTGATTTTAAACATAATTTTATGAAGACCTAGTGATAGAATTTATTTACATCCCTCTATTTCTAAACCTTAGCAAAAAAAAAAACAGAGGAAGATATATGGGTGTTACTAGGTACGCCTATATATTATAGTGTTTTCGGGTTTTTTATTTTTTGTTTTATTAGGATGTTACATAATTTTAATACCTGAAATTAATCAAAGAAAATTTAATTTTAGTATAACAAAGTATTTAATTCTTGAATTTAGATAGAAAAGTAATTATACTTTGGATAGCTTTGTTATATGTTAATGTAATTAAGATAACAAATATTTTCTCTTAACAGTGTCATACTGAAAAAGTCTGCTTTGTTGGAGATAATCCAGTGTTGATCATAGATCACAGCATTTCTTTCTGCTGTACAGATCAGAGAAGAGCAATTCATGATCTTTTTACCTGTCTGAGTCAAGCTGCCATACAGGCAGCCCAGAACATTTCTGTGATACACCTGACATGATGACCACTGCCATCAACGGGGTCAGCACGTCCCTGAAGCAGACCAAGAACATTGGGCCCAAGAAGCAAGTGCTGGACAACAAGACTGTGATAGAGAACATACGCGAGCATGAGATCTCTAAGTCTTTTGCTGTGGGGAAAGTCTGCTACTCCTGTGAACTTGTCTGTGAGTACTGCTGGTTACTGGTACTAAGTGCTGCTAGTTAATGGCATTAAATACTGCTAGTTACTGGCACTAAGTACTGCTAGTTGATGGCATTAAATACTGCTAGTTGTTGGCTCTAAGTACTGCTAATTACTGGCACTAAGTACTGCTAGTTGATGGCACTAAGTACTGCTAGTTGTTGGCTCTAAGTACTGCTAGTTGTTGGCTCTAAGTACTGCTAGTTGATTGCACTAAGTACTGCTAGTCGTTGGCTCTATATACTGCTAGTTGTTGGCACTAAGTACTGCTAGTTGTTGGCACTAAGTACTGCTAGTTGATGGCACTAAGTACTGCTAGTTGTTGGCTCTAAGTACTGCTAATTACTGGCACTAAGTACTGCTAGTTGATGACACTAAGTACTGCTAGTTGTTGGCACTAAGTACTGCTAGTCGTTGGCACTAAGTACTGCTAGTTACTGGCACTAAGTACTGCTAGTTGTTGGCACTAAGTACTGCTAGTTGTTGGCACTAAGTACTGCTAGTTGTTGGCACTAAGTACTGCTAGTTGTTGGCTCTAAGTACTGCTAGTTGTTGGCTCTAAGTACTGCTGGTTGTTGGCACTAAGTACTGCTGGTTGTTGGCACTAAGTACTGCTAGTCGTTGGCACTAAGTACTGCTAGTTACTGGCACTAAGTACTGCTAGTTGTTGGCACTAAGTACTGCTAGTTGTTGGCTCTAAGTACTGCTAGTTGTTGGCTCTAAGTACTGCTAGTTGTTGGCACTAAGTACTGCTAGTTGTTGGCACTAAGTACTGCTAGTTGATGGCACTAAGTACTGCTAGTTGATGGCACTAAGTGCTGCTAGTTGTTGGCTCTAAGTACTGCTAGGTGCTGGCACTAAGTACTGTTAGGTGCTGGCACTAAGTACTGCTAGTTGTTGGCACTAAGTACTGCTAGTTGTTGGCTCTAAGTACTGCTAGGTGCTGGCACTAAGTACTGCTAGTTGATGGCACTAAGTACTGCTAGTTGTTGGCTCTAAGTACTGCTAGGTGCTGGCACTAAGTACTGCTAGTTTTTGGCACTAAGTACTGCTAGTTGATGGCACTAAGTACTAGTACTTTTAGTTGATGACACTAAGTACTAGTACTGCTAGTTGTTGGCACTAAGTAGGCCTGTAGCTATCATAGCTATCACTTTCTTTCACAGCTAGCAATGTTGCTACCATATAGTACTGTTGCAAATAAAGATAGCTGATTTGCTAAGTTATCTAGCACTAAGAGTTCATGTAGTTGCCTGTCAGAAATATATCTGTACTTTAATGCCAGTTTTGTCCTGCAGGTAAATATTTTGCTGCCGGCATTGACTTCAATGCCAGAGACAGTAAAACAGGTGAGACGTTCCTGCACGCATTGACAGACTACACCCACCTGTACCTGACTGCCAATGGCACCCGCATCATGTACATGTTGTCCACTAAGGTGGACATTGAGGTGCCAGACCAGAATGGTGACACTGTTCTACATAAGGTTGTCAGGGTGCCTGGTGCCTGGAGATGTATTGTGGCTTTGATGAGGTGAGTTATGGTGTATGTTGATAGTGATGTTGTTAGTAATGATGTAAGAGATGTTGTATGTAAACAGTGGTGTTGTGAGAGATGGTGTATGTAGTCTGTGATGTTGTGGGGGATGTTGTATGTAGTCAGTGATGTTGTGGGGGATGTTGTATGTAGTCAGTGATGTTGTGGGGGATGTTGTATGTAGTCAGTGATGTTGTGGGGGATGGTGTATGTAGTCAGTGATGTTTTGGGGGATGTTGTATGTAGTCAGTGATGTTGTGGGGGATGGTGTATGTAGTCAGTGATGTTGTGGGGGATGTTGTATGTAGTCAGTGATGTTGTGGGGGATGTTGTATGTAGTCAGTGATGTTGTGGGGGATGTTGTATGTAGTCAGTGATGTTGTGGGGGATGGTGTATGTAGTCAGTGATGTTGTGGGGGATGTTGTATGTAGTCAGTGATGTTGTGGGGGATGTTGTATGTAGTCAGTGATGTTGTGGGGGATGGTGTATGTAGTCAGTGATGTTTTGGGGGATGTTGTATGTAGTCAGTGATGTTGTGGGAGATGTATGTAGTCAGTGATGTTGTGGGGGATGTTGTATGAAGTTATCTGTGTTATATGTGGATGGTGATTACTGTATGAAATAAACTATGTTGTATGTAGACGTTGATGTATATAATGAGTAAATGATATTGATGTAGAGGGGTATTGTATGCAGAGGGTTATGCAGTGTGTAGGGAGTGTTTCTGTATTTATGAAGTATTGTTTCAAGTAATGGCTGAGTGACGATGTAAACTATAAAAGTTTATCATTGAAGTAAGTGTGGTACTGTTTTCTATATTTGTACTTGACCACATCAATACAGCTCCGTCATGTTTTATCATTTGTTTTATTTTTCTAATCATAAATTTGAATTTTTCAAATATTTTGTTCATTAAAAAGGAAATTTTAAATACAATAGTCTCCCATAGTAAAAAAAAAACTCCACCCACTTTTATTGTCATTTGGCACAAATTGTAAACAAACAACAATCTGTTTCTGAACTCCTTTAGGCTTTCATTCAGTTGTGTAATGTTGCTGACAGATGTTGTGTTCTCTGTCCTCAGGTGTGGTGCTTGTCCTCTAATTAAAAACAAAGCAGGTCGCACACCTGAAGAAGAAATCCTGCACTTAAAGAACACAGGCTGGGAGGAAAACCTGCACTGGCTGAGAAAATATCACCCAGGTAAACTGCCTTCAGAAGCTGCACATCAGTTACCTGGTTTGACTTGTGTATGGGGTCAGATGTAGCCCTTGTGTACAGTTACTGGTCCACTGATGTTCCAGTTTTATCTTTGATTTGGTGATGTATCACTTTAGTTAACTTTTGAAGTTTAATCTAGGTTTAGAGATGGTACAAGTAAAATAACTCTTTCCTACCTGGAGCTCTATAGTACAATGATCTGCTGACCTTTGCATGATGAAGGTATGAGGGTCATCACTTGCTTCTTATTCTAGCCCAAGGTGCAATCATCTACTTGTCTTAGCGGGGTGGTGCTTTGGGTGATTTCTAAAACTGGTAGACATTCAGAATAGTTTTTGAGTGATCTACTATCTCACTGCGCATTGGTGTACATTTTACAATTTTTTCATTCTACATCTTGCAGCATCACTTCTCTTTATTCAAATTTTAGACATGATTGAATTCAGAAATGTTTTTTTTTTAGGTCTTTGGGCAGCTGTAAAGTCCACGACCCCTGACCCTGTGCTGATAGAAAGGCTACTGAGGTACTGGTGCAGGACTGTTAAGATCATTGGACGCGAGACAGCCAACTTAAAGGTCAGTCTGAATAGTTTCAACTGTTTACAGCAGCTGGAAACTTGGACTGGATTAGAATCAAGCTCATGACTTTCTGAATAGTTTAAACTGTTGACAGCAGCTGGAAACTTGGACTGGATTAGAATCAAGCTCATGACTTTCTGAATAGTTTCAACTGTTTACAGCAGCTGGAAACTTGGACTGGATTAGAATCAAGCTCATGACTTTCTGAATGGTTTAAACTGTTTACAGCAGCTGGAAACTTGGACTGGATTAGAACCAAGCTCATGACTTTCTGAATAGTTTCAACTGTTTACAGCAGCTGGAAACTTGGACTGGATTAGAACCAAGCTCATGACTTTCTGAATAGTTTAAACTGTTTACAGCAGCTGGAAACTTGGACTGGATTAGAACCAAGCTCATGACTTTCTGAATAGTTTCAACTGTTTACAGCAGCTGGAAACTTGGACTGGATTAGAAACAAGCTCATGACTTTCTGAATAGTTTAAACTGTTTACAGCAGCTGGAAACTTGGACTGGATTAGAACCAAGCTCATGACTTTCTGAATAGTTTAAACTGTTGACAGCAGCTGGAAACTTGGACTGGATTAGAACCAAGCTCATGACTTTCTGAATAGTTTAAACTGTTTACAGCAGCTGGAAACTTGGACTGGATTAGAACCAAGCTCATGACTTTCTGAATAGTTTAAACTGTTTACAGCAGCTGGAAACTTGGACTGGATTAGAACCAAGCTCATGACTTTCTGAATAGTTTCAACTGTTTACAGCAGCTGGAAACTTGGACTGGATTAGAACCAAGCTCATGACTTTCTGAATAGTTTGAACTGTTGACAGCAGCTGGAAACTTGGACTGGATTAGAATCAAGCTCATGACTTTCTGAATAGTTTAAACTGTTTACAGCAGCTGGAAACTTGGACTGGATTAGAACCAAGGTCATGACTTTCTGAATAGTTTAAACTGTTTACAGCAGTTGAAAACTTGGACTGGATTAGAACTAAACTCATGACTTTCTAAGCAACAATTTTATCTAACCCTCAATACCACCATCCTGTCACTTGATTAGATATATGTTCAATCAGATTTTTCAAATTACGTTGTTGCTGTTCAAATCTTGAGTTAGTTAATATGTTATCCTAAATATTACTAACATTACTAAAGCCTTTAGTTATGTTTAACAGTTAGCCAAATGTAAGACTGCTGGTTCAGGTCATTGACCCCTTAATGTTCCCCAGTGCCAAGTCCACCTGTGTCTGAACCCTTATGTTTAACAGCCAAATGTAAGACTGCTGGTTCAGGCCATTGACCCCTTAATGTTCCCCAGTGCCAAGTCCACCTGAGTCTAAACCCTTATGTTTAACAGCCAAATGTAAGACTGCTGGTTCAGGTCATTGACCCCTTAATGTTCCCCAGTGTCAAGTCGACCTGTGTCTAAACCCTTATGTTTAACAGCCAAATGTAAGACTGCTGGTTCAGGTCATTGACCCCTTAATGTTCCCCAGTGCCAGGTCCACCTGTGTCTAAACCCTTATGTTTAACAGCCAAATGTAAGACTGCTGGTTCAGGTCATTGACCCCTTAATGTTCCCCAGTGTCAGGTCCACCTGTGTCTAAACCCTTATGTTTAACAGTTAGCCAAATGTAAGTCTGCTGGTTCAGGTCATTGACCCCTTAATGTTCCCCAGTGCCAAGTCCACCTGTGTCTAAACCCTTATGTTTAACAGTTAGCCAGTGTAAGACTGCTGGTTCAGGTCATTGACCCCTTAATGTTCCCCAGTGCCAAGTCCACCTGTGTCTAAACCCTAATGTTTAACAGCCAAATGTAAGACTGCTGGTTCAGGTCATTGACCCCTTAATGTTCCCCAGTGCCAAGTCCACCTGTGTGAGACCCACCTTGACACTGTGATGCTGCTAGAGAAGTATGAGAACACCAATGAAATGGCTCTAGCCATGTTGAGTGGGAAGCTGCAGTTTGTTGGCATGTGGAAGGCTGCAGGTGAGTGATACATTTAATTGTTGGTGGATGAAGTAGTAAAGTGGTGAATTATACATAAATTAGGTGGTAAATTATATTGTTGGTGGATGAAGTAGTAAAGTTGTGAATTATACATAAATGAGTGGTCAGTTTAATTGTTGGTGGATGAAGTAGTAAGGTGGTGAATTATACATAAATTAGGTGGTCAGTTTAATTATTGGTGGATGAAGTAGTAAGGTGGTGAATTATACATAAATTAGGTGGTCAGTTTAATTGTTGGTGGATGAAGTAGTAAAGTGGTGAATTATACATAAATTAGGTGGTCAGTTTAATTGTTGGTGGATGAAGTAGTAAAGTGGTGAATTATACATAAATTAGGTGGTCAGTTTAATTGTTGGTGGATGAAGTAGTAAAGTGGTGAATTATACATAAATTAGGTGGTCAGTTTAATTGTTGGTGGATGAAGTAGTAAAGTGGTGAATTATACATAAATTAGGTGGTCAATTTAATTGTTGGTGGATGAAGTAGTAAAGTGGTGAATTATACATAAATTAGGTGGTAAATTATATTGTTGGTGGATGAAGTAGTAAAGTGGTGAATTATACATAAATTAGGTGGTCAGTTTAATTGTTGGTGGATGAAGTAGTAAAGTGGTGAATTATACATAAATTAGGTGGTCAGTTTAATTGTTGGTGGATGAAGTAGTAAAGTGGTGAATTATACATAAATTAGGTGGTCAGTTTAATTGTTGGTGGATGAAGTAGTAAAGTGGTGAATTATACATAAATTAGGTGGTCAGTTTAATTGTTGGTGGATGAAGTAGTAAAGTGGTGAATTATACATAAATTAGGTGGTCAGTTTAATTGTTGGTGGATGAAGTAGTAAAGTGGTGAATTATACATAAATTAGGTGGTCAATTTAATTGTTGGTGGATGAAGTAGTAAAGTGGTGAATTATACATAAATTAGGTGGTCAGTTTAATTGTTGGTGGATGAAGTAGTAAAGTGGTGAATTATACATAAATTAGGTGGTAAATTATATTGTTGGTGGATGAAGTAGTAAAGTGGTGAATTATACATAAATTAGGTGGTAAATTAAATTGTTGGTGGATGAAGTAGTAAAGTGGTGAATTATACATAAATTAGGTGGTAAATTAAATTGTTGGTTGATGAAATAGCAGTAAGGTGGTGCATTAAGCAATTAATTGATTCATAGATTATGTAGTAAATTATATTGTTGGTGGATGGAATAGCAGTAAGGTGGTGCATTAAGCAATTAATTGATTCAAAGATTATGTGGTAAATTATTTTGTTGGTGGATAAAGTAGTAAACTTATTAATTATACATAAATTAGGTGGTAAATTAAATTGTTGGTTGATGAAATAGCAGTAAGGTGGTGCATTAAGCAATTAATTGATTCAAAGATTATGTGGTAAATTATTTTGTTGGTGGATAAAGTAGTAAACTTATTAATTATACATAAATTAGGTGGTAAATTAAATTGTTGGTTGATGAAATAGCAGTAAGGTGGTGCATTAAGCAATTAATTGATTCAAAGATTATGTGGTAAATTATTTTGTTGGTGGATAAAGTAGTAAACTTATTAATTATACATAAATTAGGTGGTAAATTAAATTGTTGGTTGATGAAATAGCAGTAAGGTGGTGCATTAAGCAATTAATTGATTCAAAGATTATGTGGTAAATTATTTTGTTGGTGGATGAAGTAGTAAAGTGATTAATTATACATAAATTAGGTGGTAAATTAAATTTTTGGTTGATGAAATAGCAAGTAGGTGGTTATTAAGCAATTAATTGATTCATAGATTATGTGGTAAATTATATTGTTGGTGGATGGAATAGTAAGGTGGTGAATTATTCAAAAATTAGGTGGTAAATTATATTGTTGGTTGATGAAATAGTAAGGTGGTGAATTAAATAATAAATTGGTTCATAAAATTAGTGCCAGTAATTATTTTTTATATGAATAAATAAATATCTTGACGTTATTATTTTAAAATCAGATGTATTAGTTACTCCATGCCCTGGTGCATAACATAATTTTGACTGTAAAGTAAGGAACCCTTTCTATCTTTAAGGCCCATGGGGCAGGTGAAGCACTATGCCCAGCCACCTTTTCTTTCTTTAATGTGATTCAGGACTCATCAGAGCTTTGTGGACATCATACAAACTGGGATCCAGATTTGAGACTTTAGTGTTAGCATTTAAACTCTCTACCATTGGACTGTGCCATCCCATAACCTTTGAGTGTTTTACAGAACACCTGCAGAAAGTGGACATCAACACCAAAGACCACTCGTACCAGTTCTACTACAGGGACTACCCCACAGCGCCACGCCCACTTCTGGCGGCAGTCTGGGAGATTAACCAGATCCAGCTGGTGGAGGCGTTCATGGAGCTGCACCCAGACACCTCGGTCAAGTACACGTTTGAGTCTGAGGCTGCCAGTCCACCCAAACCTCTGTTCTTTCAGGTCAGTGGGGGTGGAGGCTGTTTCATATTTTGTTATACGTGAATATGTTCAAATTGGGTTTAAAGCTGTTCCTGTTTTATTAGATGGGAATATGTTCAATTTGGGTTTAAAGCTGTTCCTGTTTTATTAGTTGGGAATATGTTCAATTTGGGTTTAAAGCTGTTCCTGTTTTATTAGATGGGAATATGTTCAATTTGGGTTTAAAGCTGATCCTGTTTTATTAGATGTGAATATGTTCAAATTGGGTTTAAAGCTGATCGTGTTTTATTATGGAAATATATTCAAATTGGGTTTAAAGCTGAACATTTAATGTGTGATGCTATTCACTTGATACATAGACCAGCCTTTGTTATTTCCAATATTGCCATCTTTTCCTGTTCATGCCCGTGATACATTGGAGTAGATGAAGTAGAGTTCATTTGTTTCAATGACCGCGGCATACAAAGGGTATAGTGTGGTCGGCACGATGTCCAGTCACCATTAGATGCCCCCCGATACCCATCAAAGCTGGGTGGTATATCTCCAATATATATATCTTAATATTTATTATAAATGTTAGTATTAAAAGTTAACATATTTTCACATGCCAACAAATAATTAAAGATTTTTTTCTCATCATTTTCAGCTTGTCAATCCCAAGTTCCGGCCACAAGATGAAGCCATAACTGCCAGAATTCTGCGTGACTCAGACCTGAGTATCCGTAATGTCCATGGCCAGACGGTGTTGATTGAGGCCATGTGCAATGGAGAGACTGAGGGGGTCATTCAGGCCATCCTCAACTCTGGGGTCAACATAGCGGCCAGGGATGCCCTGGGTAGGACGGCCAGGGACTACTGTGACATCCTCAACCGTCTAGACTACCAGTGAGTGACACTTACAAGACTTTTGTGCTTGTTACCAGTTTGACCTGACCTTTAGGGTTGTTTTTTTTTTAATTAAAGATATGCTTTTTTATATAAAATAGCAAAAGTTGGGGTCAGTCTAAGGGTTCGGCGTGGTCGAGTCGGTATAGCTCATGGGTGCTAAACCGAAAAGTCTCGAGTTCGAACCCTCGGGCAGATGAGGCTCGTTAGCTGGGGACAGCCACTGTTCTAGGAGAGACAACTCCAAAATTAAACAACTGCTGCCTTGTAGTTTGTTCTTGGTTGGACAAAGGCTATGGAAGCAAATCCAAAAAGAAAAGCAGGCTGAAATCGGAGTCAATGGCCTCAATGGCGCATAACCAGTTGACACGTAACGCTTAATTGTGTTGGAGGCGTGGTCGAGTCGGCAAAAAGCTCATGGTTGATAAATTCGAATAAAGTCTCGAGTTCAAACTCACTGGCAGATAAATCTCGATCCCCTTCAACACTAATAATTAAGAACGAAGAAGAAGAAGGGGTCAGTCTATACAATTAAAATTATTAATCTTTAATTTTAAATCTAAATTTAATATATTAATTTATTTTTTGTACCCAAGCTATTTCATTTAGTAATTATAGGGAAGAATATTTTGCTCTTGAGTTTTCATGAAATTATAGTTAGCCAGTTAATGACTTCTTTTCACACTGATTTAAGGAACTAATAGCCATGTACATAGGGCAGTGTGGTTGAAAGGTAGAACATACAACTGCCATCCCAAAAGTCTCAAATTTAAATCTGGGTTCAAGTCTGTAGATCTTCTCTGAGACTAACCAGCTCTGATGGGTACCTGACATTGGGGAAAGTAAAGGCGGTTGGGCATAGTGCTGGCCACATTATTCTTCCATATACAGGTCACAGAACTCTACTTCACTGACTGTCAAGTTCAAAAGGGAACTTTACTAGTAGCCATATACAGAATTTTTCTCTATTTTTGTATGGGAAGTGACCAAAATATAAGAAAAAATTGTTTGTGTATATTGCAGGGAACTAATAGACGGCCATATCATGCACCTTATCCAAGAGTGTGACATAGTTCGCCTGGAGTCCCTGGTGCTACAGCTGTACGACCATTTGCTGCCTGTCTCATACAAGTGCAGCTTCAAGAGTATTGTAAGGCAGAAGGGATCCAAGCAACTCCATGAAGTCTTTAAAAATATTACTGCTACACAGGTAAGAATATTCATGCTACACAGGTAAAAATGTTAATGCTACACAGGTATAAATATTAATGCTACACAGATAAGAATATTCATGCTACACAGGTAAAAATGTTAATGCTACACAGGTATAAATATTACTGCTACACAGGTAAGAATATTGATGATACACAGGTAAAAATGTTAATACTACACAGGTATAAATATTAATGCTACACAGTTAAGAATATTCATGCTACACAGGTAAAAATGTTAATGCTGCACAGGAAAAAATACTAATGTACACAATGCTGCTTTTTCAGAAATAATTTAGGCAGCACCAGTTTAAAATTAGAAAAAATAAATTAGCTACCTTTGAAATGTGCTGGGTGTTGCAAGTTTAGCCAACATGTTCAGCTGATTGTCTCAAGAGATGCGGCAAGAATGTTGCTTTAGTCTCTGGTGTGATTACATTAAAACAGAGTTGAACTTTTAATAGGTGTTTGAGCATCTTGTTTAATCTACGTGCTATCGATTATACCACACATGTGCCATACAGTATAGGAGATGCCATTTAACAATGAACAAAAAAGCTTTCATTTTATCTATATAAGAAAAGAATTGCTTCGTTACTGATTTATACATAATGATTTGTTTGGTTGAATTTGTGTGAATTTATTATTTCACAACTAATAGAGACGTTTAAGCTGCAACATTTAAATTTGACTGAAGTTGCATTCATTTGATTTCTATTCTATTTGTAAATATTATTATTACTTCATACACAGGCACAAATACTCTAATTACTGATCTATTTTTTTCTGTACAAACAGGCGCACGTGACCAAATTATTTTCACTTGTCAAGTCTGGCAACAGAGAGCAGCTGATGAAGAACATGAGTCGCAAGTACACAAACGCCAGGGACAAAGCTGGCAGGACCTTGCTCCACTACGCTGTCCAGCACTCATCCGCCCAGCGGACAGTGGACAACTTCAGTAGCCAGGGGTCACTCAACACCAGGAACAATAACCCAGACAGTAATGGGGGGATAATTCTGAGTGACATCAACTTGACAAATAACGACCCTAACACCGCCATCTCCAGCTCTGACACTGCTAGGCTTTACAACACAACCAAGGCCAACACTGGCCAAAAGAAAGAGTGTAGCTTCAGAAAACGCTTCTGTCCCAAGAATGCAAACTTTACACAAGATTATGTCGGGATTATAAAGTATTTAGTTCAAGAATTTCCTGCCATGTTGGGACAGAAAAACAATGTAAGTCTGCTATTGAATAGTCCTTTGTTAGAGAGTTTTCCTGAAACTTTCAACAATAGACTTTTATTGGTTTTTTTTTTATTATTTATTACTTGACATCTCTTATATTTTCTCTGTATCATTAAAAACTTAGCCTTTCTAAAAAAAAATTGATTAAACTATCTATAGATTTTGTTGTTGAAAAACTGTCTTGTATTTAGACTTGGTTCAATCCAGCTGTGTTGAAAGGGAAAAATCTAGATCAACAGATTTGCTAAATTAGGGTTTATACTTATCCATGGTGGACAGCCACCTTCAAACACTTTCTCTGTGCTAAGTTCTGCTTTATATTTATAGCCATTGACCAGCTGATAGCCAGGAATAGAATTTTATAGCACAGGTTAGAAGTGGAACACACCTGCCTTGAATAGTTTAAGGAGCTGAAGTTTTATATTTACATTGAGAAGTTGTGAAGTGTTTAAAAAGGCAGAAATATATGTTGTGTTGGGCTGATTTTGGCTGCTCACCCAAAAGTTTTGAGTTCAGATCCAGTCAGTGGATATCTCTAGGTCCACCCAGATGTGATGGGTTCCTGACTCAAGTTAGGGGAAGTAAATGCAGCTGGGCATAGTATTGACCACACTATACCTTCACAGTCACTGACAAACTCTATTTATCTGTTCTTGGCCTGCCAAGTTCAAAAGGCTATCTTGTTACTTTTAGCTGATGTTCTCCTGATTATTTAATAATTCATAGTTCTCTTTGGTGTTTTGTTTCTAAATAACTTACATTTGATATTTCTATAATTGTAATGCCTGAAAATGTATTCATGATATCTTAAATTTACTTCAAACAATTATCTCCTTACTTTGCTGATGTAACTTTGTAGGTTTATGTTTCACAAAAATATCTGGCAACATTATGAAAGAACCAAGTTCAAAATCTTATTTTTGCTGATAAAAAGTGTTCCCAGCAATGTTCATTTTAATTGCAAGTTTGCACATTAAAGAATTATTCTCCCCTATTTCAGTTGGGTAAGACACCACTCCCCTAAGAATTATTTTCCCCTATTTCAGTTGGGTATGACACCACACCACTAAGAATTATTTTCCCCTATTTCAGCTTGGTCAGACACCACTCCACTTAGAATTATTTTCCCCTATTGAGCTTGGTCAGACACCACTCCACTAAGAATTATTTTCCCCTATTTCAGCTTGGTCAGACACCACACCACTAAGAATTATTTTCCCCTATTTCAGCTTGGTCAGACACCACACCACTAAGAATTATTTTCCCCTATTTCAGCTTGGTCAGACACCACTCCACTTAGAATTATTTTCCCCTATTGAGCTTGGTCAGACACCACTCCACTAAGAATTATTTTCCCCTATTGAGCTTGGTCAGACACCACTCCACTAAGAATTATTTTCCCCTATTTCAGCTTGGTCAGACACCACACCACTAAGAATTATTTTCCCCTATTTCAGCTTTCGTCAGACACCACTCCACTAAGAATTATTTTCCCCTATTTCAGCTTTCGTCAGACACCACTCCACTAAGAATTATTTTCCCCTATTTCAGCTTGGTCAGACACCACACCACTAAGAATTATTTTCCCCTATTTCAGCTTGGTCAGACACCACACCACTATGCTTACATCTACTCTGCTGACAAGGAAATCCTAGATCTGATAGACAAAACTGGTTCCTGCGGACACCTCAAAGATGTGGTGAGTTGTCACATGACTTTGTGGAGAAATGTATCAACCCCAACCCTGACTGATGTAATATAGGCTTCATTAACATACTCAGTTTTTTACCTAAAATTAATTTCTTAACCCTATTATGTTTTAGATTATTTTACTTTTGTAAAGTAGTTTTGGGCAAAATTGAAAAATGAATAATTTACCACAGAATATTTATTACAAATATGCCATCAGCCATCCTTAATGTAATCATTAAATATTTATTATTTAGTTATTTATTTATTCATTTAGCCATATATTCCAGTTGTTGACCTGAACAAGATGCGTAGGTCTGGTTGCCATTACCTAACCCATGACGACCAGAAAATGATTTAACACTATAAATCCCAATGTTTCTAACAAGTGAACACTTTTCTCTCCCCCAGTTTGACTTTGTACCAGAAGACTACGATTGTTCACAGTGTGGAGAGCAGACATTCAATGTCAGACGGCGACCTGTTGTTGGGCTTGACCTTGACATATTTCTCACAGAGTCCAATTTTGAGCAACGTTTTCATGAGGCGATAAATGTATTACTCTTTTCAAATTTCTAAGTTCTTAACAATTAAACTTTATGTTTGTTTCATGTGTTTGAAGTTAGACTGGGTAAAGATGATACTTGGTATGATAATCAACAAATACCTGTTTATTTTATTTATCAAGGTGTATTTATGTGTGAGTCAGCTGACCTTTCTGATATTTTGTGTGACCTTTGACCTGTGCGATATTTTGCATGAAACTTGACCTTTGTGACATTTTATGTGACATTTTCTGACATTTTGTGTGACACTTGACCTTTGTGACATTTTGTGTGAGATTTTCTGACATTTTGTGTGACACTTGACCTTTCTGACATTTTGTGTGACCCTTGACCTTTGTGACATTTTGTGTGACCCTTGACCTTTGAACACCACAGACAGGGAACCTGGATGAGCTGAAGAAGCTGGTGCCCCCACTACTGGAGCACAAGGGTGAGGCCAGGTTCAGCCAGGCACTCTTTGACTGCCTGGACGCTGGTCATGTCAACCTGGCCAGTTTTCTGGTCCAGGAAGGATTTCATACGGATATTTCTAAACAGGTAGCTTATAGTGTTTCATTTAACGAAGTATTGCTAATAGCTATAATATAATGTTTGCTAAAAATGTTCTACGTGATCATATTTCTGCCTGACTAACTTTATGTTTTTACCTTACACTGTTTTCATAGTTCTGCTTGACTGACTTTACATTTCTACCTGACTGACTAAAATTCTGTCTGACTGTCTTCACATTTCTGTCTGACAGTCTTCACATTTCAACCTAACTTCAACTTTATACCTAATTTCAAATTTCTTCCTGACTGACTCCACATTTCTACATGACTAACTTGTTCCAGTATGAAGTCTGACAAATTTTCCTTTGTTCCAGTATGAAGTCTGACAAATTTTCCTTTGTTCCAGTATGAAGTCTGACAAATTTTACTTTATTCCAGTATGAAGTCTAACAAATTTTTCTTTGTTCTAGTATGAAGTCTGACAAATTTTCCTTTGTTCCAGTATGAAGTGACAAATTTTCCTTTGTTCTAGTATGAAGTCTGACAAATTTTCCTTTGTTCCAGTATGAAGTGACAAATTTTCCTTTCTTCCAGTATGAAGTCTGACAAATTTTCCTTTGTTCCAGTATGAAGTCTGACAAATTTTCCTTTGTTCTAGTATGAAGTCTGACAAATTTTCCTTTGTTCTAGTATGAAGTCTGACAAATTTTCCTTTGTTCCAGTATGAAGTCTAACAAATTTTCCTTTGTTCCAGTATGAAGTCTGACAAATTTTCCTTTGTTCCTGTATGAAGTCTGACAAATTTTCCTTTGTTCTAGTATGAAGTCTGACAAATTTTCCTTTGTTCTAGTATGAAGTCTGACAAATTTTCCTTTGTTCCAGTATGAAGTGACAAATTTTCCTTTGTTCTAGTATGAAGTCTGACAAATTTTCCTTTGTTCCAGTATGAAGTGACAAATTTTCCTTTCTTCCAGTATGAAGTCTAACAAATTTTCCTTTGTTCTAGTATGAAGTCTGACAAATTTTCCTTTGTTCCAGTATGAAGTCTGACAAATTTACTTTGTTCCTGTATGAAGTGACAAATTTTCCTTTGTTCCAGTATGAAGTCTGACAAATTTTCCTTTGTTCCAGTATGAAGTGTGACAAATTTTCCTTTCTTCCAGTATGAAGTCTGACAAATTTTCCTTTGTTCTAGTATGAAGTCTGACAAATTTTCCTTTTTTCCAGTATGAAGTCTGACAAATTTTCCTTTGTTCCTGTATGAAGTCTGACAAATGTTCCTTTGTTCCAGTATGAAGTGACAAATTTTCCTTTGTTCCTGTATGAAGTCTGACAAATGTTCCTTTGTTCCAGTATGAAGTGACAAATTTTCCCTTTGTTCTAGTATGAAGTGACAAATTTTCCTTTGTTCCTGTATGAAGTCTGACAAATGTTCCTTTGTTCCAGTATGAAGTGACAAATTTTCCTTTGTTCTAGTATGAAGTCTGACAAATTTTCCTTTGTTCCAGTATGAAGTCTGACAAATTTTTCTTTGTTCCAGTATGAAGTCTGACAAATTTTCCTTTGTTCCAGTATGAAGTCTGACAAATTTTCCTTTGTTCCAGTATGAAGTCTGACAAATTTACTTTGTTCCTGTATGAAGTGACAAATTTTCCTTTGTTCTAGTATGAAGTCTAACAAATTTTCCTTTGTTCCAGTATGAAGTCTGACAAATTTTCCTTTGTTCCAGTATGAAGTGTGACAAATTTTCCTTTCTTCCAGTATGAAGTCTGACAAATTTTCCTTTGTTCTAGTATGAAGTCTGACAAATTTTCCTTTTTTCCAGTATGAAGTCTGACAAATTTTCCTTTGTTCCTGTATGAAGTCTGACAAATTTTCCTTTGTTCTAGTATGAAGTCTGACAAATTTTCCTTTGTTCCAGTATGAAGTCTGACAAATTTTCCTTTGTTCCAGTATGAAGTCTGACAAATTTTCCTTTGTTCTAGTATGAAGTCTGACAAATTTTCCTTTGTTCCAGTATGAAGTCTGACAAATTTTCCTTTGTTCTAGTATGAAGTTTAACAAATTTTCCTTTCTTCCAGTATGAAGTCTGACAAATTTTCCTTTGTTCCAGTATGAAGTCTGACAAATTTCCCTTTGTTCCAGTATGAAGTCTGACAAATTTTCCTTTTTTCCAGTATGAAGTCTGACCAATTTTCCTTTGTTCCAGTATGAAGTCTGACAAATTTTCCTTTGTTCCAGTATGAAGTCTGTGACTCTGATGACCCCATGTGTGCCATGATGGAGTGCAGCCACGCCGTGACCTCATTCAGACAGCGAGCCACAGATGTCGGTGCCACAGACCTTGTCAGACTGATGGACCAGTTACTGGAGAACAGGGTTGTCTAGGTCAGTTTATATATAGGTCTGTTTATAACTAGGTCAGTTTATAACTAGGTCAGTTTATAATGAGGTCAGTTTATATTAGGTCAGTTTATATTAGGTCAGTTTATAACTAGGACTGTTTATAACTAGGTCAGTTTATAACTAGGTTAGTTTATAGCTTTGTTAGTTTATAGCTAGGACTGTTTATAGCAAGGTCAGTTTATATTAGGTCAGTTTATTCTAGGTCTTTTCTTATGTCAGCTTATTGCTAGGTCTGTTTATAGCTAGGTCAGTTTATAGCTAGGTCAGTTTATAGCTAGGTCAGTTTATCCAAATGTCCAGTCTGAATGACGAGGGTGTTTGTGGTACTTCATGAGAGCATGTTGTTAGGTGGTAGGTGGTAGAGAGCCCATGTCAGCATATAGGCTTATAGCTAGGTCAGTTTATCCAAATGTCTGAATGATGAGGGTGTTTGTGGTACTTCATGAGACCATGTAGTTAGGTGGTAGAGAGCCCCTGTCCTAGCTCAGAAGTCTTGAGTCCTGATTTCTCTGAGCCCACCCAGCTCTGATAGGTACCTGACTCACATGAGAGAAAGTAAAACTGGCTGCACATAGTGCTGAGTTACCAGCTGTACATCATTTGCTCTATGAATGATTAGATCTGAAAGGGCATCTTTACTTGAAAGTTTTCTACCAGTATCATTTTTATAGAAACATTTAAAAATTTAGCAAACAAATAAATAATTGGCACTTTACTACCTGCTCTGTGGTATTTATCTGCCATTATTTTAAATGAATCCAGCATGTAACAATATTTTAGAATACTAACTTGATCAAAGTATGCCATTCAAAAAAATAAGGTTTAGCCTTCAAGATCATTGGCATGTTTGGTTGTTTTTTGTGACCAAAGCCGTAAAAATTAGCATTTCTAACGAAGATGTTTCCATTAGTACATTAGCCACCACTCAATGACTTCAGAAAACCCTGACATCCCCCTTATCTTTTTGAAATTGTTGCTTAAATTTTATATTTTGTTTCCTTCATTTCAGCACAGTTTTTAAAGCAACAGCAGACAACCTTGGAGAAACTTGTAGACCTACAAACTAGTAGCCTCACCTTTTAGAAAAAAACAATAGATACAGTAATATATTGCTAATAGTCTTTGCTTTTTTATTACTAGTCTATGCAGGTCTACAAGAGAAATCTGTACATTTGTAAAGAAAATAAATGACGATTATCATTGTTTTTTTATGATTAGATCTTAGTTTGCTTTAAAATTTTGTTAATGTTACCTGCACAAATATTTTACCAATGAAAATGTAAATTTAACAAAAATATAATGCTTTTGCTGGAGTTGTTCTACATTTACTTTTTAAAAAAAACTATTTCTGGGTCGTAAAGAAAATATGCTAAACAACCATGAGTAATTTTTTATATTATTACATGTACACAACTCCTTGTAATATATTGAAGTTAATGTAAAAATGTGTACATTGTAAAAGCTTTTAATGTTTCTAAAATGTGTATTGATTATGTATCTTTTTATTTAGATTTTTAAATGAAAAAAAACTTGCACAAATATATTGAGCTGTTGAAATCTTCATACTCTGTTATTTCTGCATGAAAATAAATTGCAAATTTTTGTTTCTACTCATCTGGTGATTTTAGTACTGTTACTTGATATGGTAAAATTACTGTGGTTACCTGATGTGAAAAATGATGTGTTGTTTCTATTACCTTGTGATCCAATTTAACAGTGATAAAGCCCTAAAATATGATTGTTTTACACTGTAAATTATATATTTTTTATCTCCCTTTACTTTAGAAATCCAACTTGTAGTGTTTTCATATATTAAATGTAGTTAAAAAGATTTGTTTAGTTCATTTGTCAAAATAATTAAAGCTGGCATAATCTAATATAAAATATGTATATACAAGCTAAAGTTTATGGCGATTTTTCTTTTAATTAATGTTCATTTAAAATATGCTTTACTTACATTTTTACATTTTTTTGCTAATTGGTCAGAAGAGTGGTGCTTTAGTAGAGTAGCGCATGTAATTTCCACTGACCATCTCTGGCTATGGGTCAAACTATTAACATGGCTGTCCTGGCCAGCATCACCACCTTCATTATCACCACTATTGGTATCAATATTGCCACTACCATCTTTAATCACCACTATTGGTATCAATATTGCCACTACCATCTTTAATCACCACCATTGGTATCAATATTGCCACTACCACCTCTAATCACCACCATTGGTCAATATTGTCACTATCATCTTTAATGACAACATCATCCTTACCACCAGCTTCACCATTATCATGAGCATCACCTAGATATGTATCATCCACCTTTTTCTGTTGTCAAGTTAGGCACAACTCTATCAACTCTTGCAGAAAAACAGCGCAGTCAATGAACTCCACCATCTCATGTTATACTGTATTACTGTCCGTCTTTTCCACTGTTTTATTGTCAGTCTTTACTGTATATGTCTGTTTTACTGTCAGTCTATACCACTATTGTATTGTCAGTCTTTTCCACTGGTTTACTGTCAGTCTATATGTCTGTTTTACTGTCAGTCTATATGTCTGTTTTACTGTCAGTCTATATGTCTGTTTTACTGTCAGTCTATATGTCTGTTTTACTGTCAGTCTATATGTCTGTTTTACTGTCAGTCTATATGTCTGTTTTACTGTCAGTCTATACTCTATACGTCTGTTTTACTGTCTATATGTCTGCTTTACTGTCAGTCTATATGTCTGTTTTACTGTCAGTCTATATGTCTGCTTTACTGTCAGTCTATACTCTATATGTCTGCTTTACTGTCAGTCTATACTCTATATGTCTGCTTTACTGTCAGTCTATATGTCTGTTTTACTGTCAGTCTATATGTCTGCTTTACTGTCAGTCTATACTCTATATGTCTGCTTTACTGTCAGTCTATACTCTATATGTCTGCTTTACTGTCAGTCTATATGTCTGTTTTACTGTCAGTCTATATGTCTGTTTTACTGTCAGTCTATAGGCCTGCTACTGTTTTACTGAGTTACTTTGTTGTCATTTCTTTATAGTTGATTAAAGAAAAACATTTCCCATACAGTAGAACTTGTTGTTCAGTAAGTTAACAGTTTGTACATTGCTGATCAAACTAAAAAAATATTAATAAAGTAGCTAATTGATAACTACAGATAAATTGTTTTTATTCTTTTGACTATGTATTTGAGATTGTAATAAATGATACTACTTCAGGGAATGGTTACTTATACAAAATATTTTTTTTTATTATTTGTTTTCATATATCACTAGCTCTTATCATAGATTCAAATACAACCACACAAAAAACAGCTGATTTCATACTTGTAGGTATGCTGGCATTAGATTCTCTGCTTGACAAACCTCAAGTGCAGTCTAGATTTTCAAAACGTTGTAAAATACTAGAAAGTTGTATTGTTAAGTTGATTTTCGTTTGTTTAAAAATGTGAAATAAATTTTTAAAATATGTTCATGACAGTTTTTCAATTTTTTTTCATCAACTGTAAAAAAAAAAATAAGGGAAATAGATTCTCCATAAGTGAGCACCAAGGTATCTATGTATAAGGTCAGCCAACAGTGAAACATTTGACCCTCGACTACCCGCTGATCAAGAGATCGCTAGTATTTTATCTTATTTTCTTTTTATCTCCCTTTTTATTGTTGAATATAGTAATTTTAAGGGGTTTAATTAAATTAAATTGTCTATCTAATTTAATTAAAATTAGATATTTTTGCATTATCATTCAATATCTACCACTGTATTAGATTTCAGCTCAATCGGACAGTAGAAAGTGGGTTTAATTAAGATTCCAAGATTTTAGGAGCAACAAACATAAAGTTGAAAGAAATAAAAGCCTTTAAAAAAAATCTGATGTAGGCCCTATTTAGTTTTTTGATCAAGGGGAATTAACAATGAAAATAAATATGAGTAGTCTACAAGACCTACGTTCTTTTTACTTGATCAAAATAATACCTGCCTACATGATAGGCCTAAAGGCCTACTGTGCATCACGATATTTTAAATTCTAAGATGTGGTATATCAAATATTTGCCACGTCGAATTTTCTCATCATTCCCCCCACCCCCTCAAAAAGTTAGAACCACCCTCCCCGTACAAACGACACGATTCCCCACTCATCCCCTTAAAATAACAAATAACATAGTATACGTTATTTGTAGGTTCGTTTTTATTCTCCATTATAAACCTGGATTTATGCACTGGGTTTTATTTTTCTTTTAATTTCGTTTTTCTGAAGTTATACTCCTTTCTTCCCTTTTTCCCTCCCTCCCCCCACAGTGGCGGAACTAGAAATCAAAGGCTCCCCCGCAAAGAAAAAGCTAGGGCCCCCTATATATATATATATATATATATATATATATATATATATATATATATATATGGGGGGCCCTATATATATATATATATATATATATATATATATATATATCCTGAGTAATTTAGTCTACTTTATTGCAATATATAACCATTCTGAGAGAACAAACCAGAAAAAATTTATTCCAAACTTATTAAGAGACAACACCATCATAAACATGCTGGTCAAAAATATATAAAGAAGTTAGCTTGATTCGTGAATGGTTTATCGCGTTATGTTTATTTTTTTCATTTTTGCCTTTATAATATCAATTTTGAAAACATTGATTTTTATAGCTATAGTATTGTATAGTACGTCTTATTTAAGTAATAATTCAGAGAATCAATTACTTTTTAATATACAGAGTACAAAACTATTTAAATGAGCTTCGTGGGCATCCCTATTTTAAAGAAGGGCAGTAAGTCATGGAAGTAGTGTGAATGTTTACCTACCTTTCAAACTATAGCTCTTGTAGATTTTAAAATATTTTTCTACGCAACAATCTCTGCTATAGTAGACCAGTTTTTTTTTTTTTTTGTTTTTTTTTTTTTTTTTACAAAACCACTTTCAAGATGCACGAAAAACATAATTTTTGAAAAAAAAAATTCATTGTTTTTTGGTCGGAACTGGGCCCCTAGACGTCCTGGGTCCCCCCGCATTGCGGGGTCTGGCGGTATGGTAGTTCCGCCCCTGTCCCCCCACCGCTATAAGGACATCGCAGAGGGGAAAAATTCACAACAGCGACTAGAAACTACATCTAGCGTGACAATTCCAACATTAGGAAGGCCTATTCTTTTCAACACACTTACCCCACACTTACCCCCCCCCCCCTTCCTCCCTTTTATTTTTATAACACACCCCTTGATCAACAACCCATTTTTCCCGTCCCGCCCTGGGCACGTGATAAACACAACTCACGGCTCTTAAGTCGTTAGTTGTCTGCCCTTGGTTTACGGAGTTTGGTTAGGGCCTACAAGAGCGGAAAATATAAATTTAAAAAATATGGCGAAGTTTATAGATCTAGATCTTCGTTATGTCCCTTAATAAATTAGTACATTTTGTAAGAAATAAGTTAGGTCTATAGGCCTAGATTTAATATCTGGCATTGAAGTTTAGCTAATAACAATGGGCATTAGCAGTGTTTCTTCCAGACTTTTTTCTCCGGGTGTGCACTTAAAATTTTCGGGAAGGGTTGGGGGGGGGGGGGGGGGGAACACTGTCAAAAGTATATATTTTCTATATAAATTCCATTTCGTTCGGAAACTATTGTTACCGTAATTGAATAAATTGAAATTCAATGCCTGGAACAAACTCTGGCCATTAGGCTGTATTTTATTTTAATTTCTAAAGAACAATATTCGTTGTAAAAACCAGTAAAAGATCTAGTCTTTAAAAAAAATGGTCCTATCTGTAAAATAATTTTAGGCCTACTACCTCGCCTTGAAATCAATAGTGATAGAAAATTAAAGTATAAAAAGCCAAGAAACAAAACGTTTTGTGCTAGAAGTCTAGAAAAGGTGCACTCGATGACTTATTTGAACCTGTATACAATCAATTCAATGTGATCTAGCCAGCTAGCTCTAGTTGTCCAATAGTTCAACAATCTTGTATGGTCAAATTGTCAGATTTTTAAGTGTGTTGATACTGATACATATGTATAGCGGAGTACGCCGCATAGGTCTTCCAATTAAAAGCGAATCGTCTATTGGTCAAACGAAAGAAGAGTGTGTTGTTGACATCTGTCAATCTTGGTGTGTGTGTGAGTGTGGTTTAGGTCTGCACTAAGCGAACTGTGTATGTGTTTATCAACACACACAAAAATGAACTCAGCTCACCTGGCCATGACGTTCAACCAGCGGAACATTTCAAATTGTCATTCGACCGCTGGACGACCCGATGTTCACTACAGTGACTCTGTATTGGAGAATCTAGATCTAGTCTAGGCTGTGGTAGTGGTAAAAAATTTTAAGTAGGGCCTACTACTTATTAATATTAAGTAGTAGAATAGTGTTTTTATATAATTCTATAGATCTAGATCTAGTATTAGAAGCCCCATACTAATCAAAATAAGTAAACGAAGTAGGTAGCTAATATTAGGACCTTAAAAGGTTCATCTTGTTTTTGACATTCTATCGCGAAGTAGGTGCTTTTATTTTATGGCTTTTAATCCTAACTGGCCTTATAATAAACCTAATAATACCACTAACTTAATGCTGACAGTAAATAAACCCTAACTTAACCCTGGTACAAATTACACTAACTTAACCCTGGCACTAACTTAACCCTGGCACTAACTTAACCCTGGCACTAACTTAACCCTGGCACTAACTTAACCCTGGCACTAACTTAACCCTGGCACTAACTTAACACCAGCCACTAACTTAACACCAGCCACTAACTTAACACCAGCCACTAACTTAACACCAGCCACTAACTTAACACCAGCCACTAACTTAACACCAGCCACTAACTTAACACCAGCCACTAACTTAACACCAGCCACTAACTTAACACCAGCCACTAACTTAACACCAGCCACTAACTTAACACCAGCCACTAACTTAACACCAGCCACTAACTTAACACCAGCCACTAACTTAACACCAGCCACTAACTTAACACCAGCCACTAACTTAACACCAGCCACTAACTTAACACCAGCCACTAACTTAACACCAGCCACTAACTTAACACCAGCCACTAACTTAACACCAGCCACTAACTTAACACCAGCCTCTAACTTAACACCAGCCACTAACTTAACACCAGCCACTAACTTAACACCAGCCACTAACTTAACACCAGCCACTAACTTAACACCAGCCACTAACTTAACACCAGCCACTAACTTAACACCAGCCACTAACTTAACACCAGCCACTAACTTAACACCAGCCACTAACTTAACACCAGCCACTAACTTAACACCAGCCACTAACTTAACACCAGCCACTAACTTAACACCAGCCACTAACTTAACACCAGCCACTAACTTAACACCAGCCACTAACTTAACACCAGCCACTAACTTAACACCAGCCACTAACTTAACACCAGCCACTAACTTAACACCAGCCACTAACTTAACACCAGCCACTAACTTAACACCAGCCACTAACTTAACACCAGCCACTAACTTAACACCAGCCACTAACTTAACACCAGCCACTAACTTAACACCAGCCACTAACTTAACACCAGCCACTAACTTAACACCAGCCACTAACTTAACACCAGCCACTAACTTAACACCAGCCACTAACTTAACACCAGCCACTAACTTAACACCAGCCACTAACTTAACACCAGCCACTAACTTAACACCAGCCACTAACTTAACACCAGCCACTAACTTAACACCAGCCACTAACTTAACACCAGCCACTAACTTAACACCAGCCACTAACTTAACACCAGCCACTAACTTAACACCAGCCACTAACTTAACACCAGCCACTAACTTAACACCAGCCACTAACTTAACACCAGCCACTAACTTAACACCAGCCACTAACTTAACACCAGCCACTAACTTAACACCAGCCACTAACTTAACACCAGCCACTAACTTAACACCAGCCACTAACTTAACACCAGCCACTAACTTAACACCAGCCACTAACTTAACACCAGCCACTAACTTAACACCAGCCACTAACTTAACACCAGCCACTAACTTAACACCAGCCACTTACAGTTTATTGCATTTCATACATCCTTATCTTTATAATTATAACTGTTTTAGGTTTAATAAACAAATTATTTTACAGCAATGTTCCAGTTTTAACATTTCAAATTTTGCAGCAATGTTTAATTTTCAACTTTGTACCGTTTGCAGAATTGTTCAATTTTCAACTGTGTACCGTTTGCAGAATTGTTCAATTTTTAACTTATAGTTGAGCTTTTACAGAAAATTTCTAGTTTTATCTAATAGGTTTCAGATTTGACCTAAATAATCTTAACTTCAGCTACACAAGTATCCAAGACAATATAAAAGTGAGTTTTTGTCATTGTATTTTTGTGTAATATGTTTAACAATTTATTTTTTTAATAAAGATAACTAAAATCATCACTCCTTCAATCAAACATTTCCGA